CCAATCAAAATACTTCCTCTCAATTCAAGCATACTTGTGCCACCATTTCTGGCAATGTGCATTTTACTGCAATAAGTTTTAAAAAAATTTTTCTCATTCACAGTATTTTTTGGAGTCTATAGATCATGAGAACAGCTTGTTCTGATAGGAAGAAGAGATTGACTATAGTAAGAAACAATACTAAATTTTAGTGGCTTAATATAGTAAAAGTTTTTCTTGTTTATGTCATAATCTGAGGCATGGATGGGCTGGGAGGGAGGGTTCTATTCTTTATGTCCATTAAAATTAATATTAAAATTAAAATATGTCTATTCTTTGTGTCCATTAAAATAGGGATGGGTCCACCATCCCTAAGGTCATCAAAGTTTTTCACTGGATGCTGTATATCCAGCTGGCAGATGATGAAAGAGGGAAAGACTATGGACCAGCAATGTTGAGATGAATAATAAAGACATATGTAATTTATAAAATATTATACACTTATTCCATAAAATTATTTTTCTTGCTTTCATCTCAATAAAATCAAATTTTATTGTTATAATCATCCAATAATTTCTGTCCTAAAGGTAGTAGATATGTAAGGAGTTAAAAATGTAATTGTATTCAAAGTATTACAATTTAAATATACTTTCATAAAATGGAAATCAAAGAAATGTAAAAAAATTATTTCAAAATGTTTTGGGTCACTTTTCTTCTAAAACATGTGCCTTATCTATTAAAGTTAAAAGGCAAAATATATAGTAGTTATGAATATTGACATTTTAAATAAAAAAGCTTAAGTTGTTGAGTTTTTGACAAATGAATTCTAGGAATTTTTACTAAAATAAACAATTCTAATGTTCAATGTCCTAATTGCCCAAAGTAAATAATACGGTCATTCCCTCATATGTTTCCTCTATACCTATGTGCCTACCAACTTAAAAGTAGTACGAATTGTTTACGATTAGAAAATATTATAAAGCTTCCACATAGGAGCATTGTAAAAATACACACATAGGAATATGAAGAGAAACAAGAAAATAGACCCTCATCACTGCTGACAGTGACACTTATTTTAATGTAAATATTAATTAAACCAGTACAGAGAAAGAATTTGACAACTTAGTCTTTTCTCTTCCCCAACGACTTTCTTTATTCAAATTCTCCCTGCACTCCAAAGCAGCAGCCCAATCTATACACCTCCATTTAGGAGATGTTCCAAGAAGGGTTCCTCAGTCAGGTATGGTGGTGGTGCATGTCTGTAATCCTAGCACTCTGGGAAACTGAGGCCAGAGGATTGCAAATTCAAGTCCAGCCTGGGCAACTTAGTAAGACTGTGTTTCAAAAAATAAAAAACAAGGGGTTGGGGATAAAGCTCAGAGGAAAGACCCTGGGCTCAATCCTCAGAGTAGATATTTAGGGCACCAGGTTGTGTTATGTCACCACTGAGTTCCAGAGCCTAAGTGACAGAAGTGGTCATATATTGCTAAATAAAACTGTGAAATATAGGACTTTCAAAGTACATGACCAAGGGAAGGAGCCTTCTTGCCTGGGCCTAAGGCAGTACTGTTCCTATCTTTCATATAATCTTGATATGGCCACTGGGAGTCCAGCCATGGGAATCCCAGAAAAGAGGACCCTTTCATGCACCAGGAAACTACCCTAATTAGTCTCTACCATAGAGGTTTAATGTCAATTTGGGATGAAAGATGAAGTATTTATTGAATATACCAGAATTTTGCCTTATAAAGTATAGGAGAAAGTATTAGACTGTAAATATTAACAACTTAACAACATGGTGTTGAGGCAAAACACCAAAATATCCAATGAGCTGAAGCACAAAATGTGGCATGGATATGAATGCAGGCTGACCTCTTGTGAAGATGAGGATGAATTTGAGAATTTCATGCTGCCTCTTATAGTCTCTTTTGAGACAGTACTACAGATACTCAACAACAGCTTTAAACAAGAAGATGTGAAGCCTATGTTGATCGGGCTGGCAAGAGATCTTTGAGGGATTGCCTTTGCACTGAACACAAAGACCAGCTACAACATGCTGTTTGACTGGATGTCCCCAGCATATCTTCCAGTTCTTCCAAGAGCTATTGAACAGTGGTACGGAGAGCCAACATGTACAACTCCCATCTTGAAACTTATGGCAGGACTGATGCAAAACAAGTCCCAGCATTTGAATTTCGATGTATCATCTCCTAATGGAATTCTTCTCTTCAGAGAAGCTAGTAAAATGATTTGTACTTATGGTAATCAGATCCTGTCCCTTGGGAGCCACTCAAAAGATCAGATTTATCCAGTGAAACTCAAGGGCATCTCCATCTGCTATTCAGCTCTCAAATCTGCCTTATGTGGAAATTATGTCAGCTTTGGCATCTTCAAGTTGTATGGGGACAACCATTTTGACAATGCACTCCGGGCCTTTGTCAAAATGCTGCTGTCAGTGTCTCACAGTGACTTGCTATAATATCGGAAGTTGAGTCAGTCTTATTACCCGCTCCTGGAATGTCTCACCCAAGAACACATGAGCTTCATCACCAATTTGAGCCTCCTGTGCTCCTCTATGTTCTCACCTCTATGTCAGAGGGACTCACAAGTCTTTTTTTTTTGGTACTGTGGATCGAACTCGGGTCCTTGCGCTTGCGCAGCAGGCGGCGAAACCACTGAGCTAAATCCCTGGCCCTCACAAGTCTTGATACAGTTGTCTCCTCCAGCTGCTGTACCAGTTTAGACTACATCATCACCTACCTCTGCAGCACATAGCAAAAGAGGGCAAGAAGCCACTTTGATGCAGAGAGGCTACCCAGGCTGGTCAGAGACTATTACATTTTATGCAGCAAAACCCAGATGTCCTGCAGCCGATGATGTCCGTCCTCATGAACACCATTGTCTTTGAAGACTGTAGAAACCAGTGGTCAGTATCCAGGCCTCTCCTGGGGTTCATTCTCCTCAATGAGAAGTATTTCAGTGAGCTGAGAGCAAGTCTGATAAACAGCCAATTTCTCCCGAAGCAGGAGGTTCTTGCCCAGTGCTTCGGGAACTTGATGGAAGGAGTGGAGCAGAACTTCTTCATCAAGAACAGAGACAAGTTCACTCAGAACCTCTCCATCTTCAGAAGAGATGTGGCAGAGGCCTTGCACAGTGATGGCCACGATGAGCTGACCTGGCTCTCCTGACCCTCTGCTGAGCAGCCATTATCAAGAGACTCTCAGAAGTCTGGGTTTCAAGAGAGCGATGCAGGCTAGCCCAGGTGAATCTATTTTTCAAAACAAAAAGCAAAAGCCCTACCTTTTTATAAGCTTGGCATAATTGTAAAAATTTATAATAGTGTGCAAACATAAATTCAGTCTTTGCTCTGAAAAAGCAAAAAAAAAACAAACCCAAAAAACTCCCCCAAAACTACATGGTGTCATCGGCTAACATGGATCCTTGCTTTAGTGATAATGAAAATTAAAAATGAGGCAATCAGCACAAATTTTACAGGTAAAAGCTTTAACTAGAAGAGAAACTGGGAAATGACTTTAGCATGAGGAGTCAAAAGTTAAAGGGGCACAGCTCTGATAAAGATCATGGTGGCCTCTTAACAAAGGAAAGTAAGAAAAAAACAGGCAATGGGTTCAGCTTGAGCAGCTGAAGGAGGCACACTTTGATGAAGAGGTTCAGACTGGCCCATTCACAAAAGAACCAGGTCTCTTGTTTTGTTTTGTTTTGTTTCTGAGACAGTGTCTCACTGTAAGACCAAGATTGGAAAATGCAAATGGTGCAGACATAAAAGGAAATAAAACACAAAATACAATGTGAACATCTCCCTCCTCATTCTCCACTAATCTCACTCCCAAAAGACAACCATGGTGAAGGGTTTATTGTGATTCTTGCCAAAAACTTTAAAAATGTACATGCATTTTAATTTACACAAATGGGATATCCATAATGCAGACTATTAATACTTTTACGTTCTGCCATGGTTTTTTTGGTACCGGGGATCGAACTTGGGTCCTTGCACTTGCTGGACAGGCGGTGGAACCACTGAGCTAAATCCCTGGCCCTGCCATGGTTTTTTTTTGATGATCTTTCATATTTTAATTTTTGGTGCTGAAGACACATTTTATTTTTTAAAAATACTTGAGACAGTCTTACTAAGCTCTGGGCTCAAACTTTCAATATTTCTGCCTCAGTCTCCTAGAGTACTGGGATTACAGGTGTTTATCCCCATGCCCAGTCTTGGTGATCTTTTAACATCACCACAGCAGATATTTATTTGCCTCCCCTCACTCTCCTGCCTTTTGTCTTCCTGCCATGCTAGGGATCAAACCCAGGGCCTGCATATGCTAGGCAAGTTCTCTACCACTGAGCTACACCCTACCCCGTTTCTCATTTGTTTTAATGGCTGCAGTGCATCCTACTATATGGTCACCCACACTTAACTAATCCTCTGTTGATGAGCTCTTAAACCATGCTGCTATGTACTGTTTAAGATTATATCTGCTTTTTACCAGCTGTTCCTTAAAGAACTACTATCTAGAATATATAAAGAACTTTTAAAAATCAGACCCAATCCAAAAATGGGCATCTGAAATGAACAGACATTTCTCACACAAAGAAGTAGAAACAGCAAATAAACATATGAAAAAATGTTCAACATCACTGGTCATTCAAGAGATGCAAATGAAAACTGCTGAGATTCCACCTCACTCCAGAAAGAATGGCTGCTATCATGAAATCAACCAATAACAAATGCTGGTGGGGCTGTGGGGAAAGAGGAACCCTGCTCCACTGCTGGTGGGTGTGTAGACTGATGCAAGCACTGTGGAAATCAGTGTGGAGATACCTCAAAGAACCAGGATTAGAGGTCCCATTTTACCCAGCTATTCCCTTGCTGTGTATCTTCCTGAAAGAATTAAAAACATCATACCATGTGACCTTTCCCACTCACCTTTTCTTTCCACAGAGAACACAAGGAAAAAGGATGGGAGGGGCAAGAGCGGGACAGCATAAACAAGCCAAGAAACTACATGGATAGACATTTTATTGTGCCTTGGTTGTGGTTAAACATTCAATCCCTCAATGTGCACATTTGTTTTGGTGTTATTTTTTTGGAGACCACAGTATTATGCTCAATTAGTCTCATCTTGTGTCAGTTTGACCAAGAGTTGTTTACTTTATAGTCAGCTAGTTAGAGGGAAATGTCAGGATAATCTGGTCCTAACATCCCAAATTCAGAACCTCAAGACTTGTGATCCACTTGTATAAAGTGCGTATGTTCAGTGCAAAAAGGGCAGACTCAGAAGGGTAAGTGGATGGCAGGCAATGATGTTTTCCTGGGAGCTGGATGCATTCTATGACTCAAGGAAGGAAAGGTCATGTGTCAAACGTCACCTTAAAGGGATCTGGTATCTTCCTCAGAGCCTTTCTCCTCCAATGGGAGTATCACTTTCAATCTGATAGATGTCCATAACAGTTGTTTATTTTACTATTAGAAAACTAGGTTCAGAGGGAATTCCACAGGATTTCTAAGCACCAGAGGCAGAGACAGTGTCTTTAGCTTCCAGTTCCTTTGTCTCGGCATCAAAGGTGAGATCAAGAGGCTGGGCTCCAGCAAGTGGGACTGAGGGCTGTAGAGCTTTTCTTTAGGTCCCTCATTTGCAGACCTAAGTCACTGAGTATGACATGTATTTTCTTAAATATTGTCACATCTCAGGTGGAAAAACAAGCTGATGCACATCAAAGAAGTACTTTACCTAATTTTCTACCAACTGGATGTGACCTATTCATTGTCCTTTTATTCTCTTGTCCATAGGCCCAGTTACTGACTCTCTGTTAAGATGGAAAAGAAGTGCACTGCTGCTCAGTGACCCAGGTGTCTGCATACCCATCTGTAGTTTCCAGAAGACTGAAGGAAGCAGGAGGGAAGGGGAAGTGGTTTCCTAATCAATTCAAGAAGCACAAATACTAGTGGAAGTCAAATAGGTAAAGTATAGCTATTCAGTCCTTGGATGCTGGCTACTATTTCTCTCTCCAGACTCTCAAGAGGGAACCATGTTCCTTCATCCATCAACTTGGCAGCAGGGCTATTTGCAAGTGCCAGCTCTGTGCTTGTGAATAAACACCCACCCTCCATCCCCGTTTGGCGAGGCCTGCCTTCCCCTCACCGCTTGGATGAATGTGGTAGGGACCCCTCCTGCCTGTGTGTCAGCCAGAGCATTCTATTTCTTCCACCTTCCAAAGACTCACATCAACTCCTTGTGCTTGTGAGAGAGACACCTGGAAAGCAGTTATATTCCACAGATAGCACTTGTCCCAAAGCCATCTCTGAATTTTGGGAAGGGAAAATAAGCAATCCTTTTTCTGTTGCTCTCCAATTCTTTGTAAAATCCCTCTAGTTAAGAGGAGCTACTAAAGTGTGTCCATGCAGAGGGGGCCTGTGTACAAATAGGATAACCCGGGTTAAGAACCAAAACGCAGGGAAGGTTTTCAGACAGGCAGAAGTCTAAAGTAAAGTGCCTCATTTCAATGGAGGAAAGTCTTATTTGTCCATAGAATGCTTAGGGCGTAAACATGAGTGTGAGCAGCATGCACACACACACTTACTCTGAGGTAGAAAGAACTGGCCATCTCCAGATAAACACACACAGTCTACAACTGTACAGAAACATGGCACTTGCGTGAAAGGTCCAGTCCTTGCCCAAGCAGGCAAGTAAGGGTCCAACCCAGCTCTTTCCAACCTGGGGCAGAGCCAGTGAGTACCACTTCACAGGGTTAAGAAGTGGAGGGAATGGCTCCTGCCACCAGAATGCTCAGGCTATATTTTTTCTGGCCCTGCTGCCAAGGGTCACTTTTTGGAGCTCGAGGCATGGGCACTGCGGGAGTGGCTTGTCAGAAGCCACTGGGCACAGATGTCCTGCACGACTGCATCCCCATTGCTCTTGGCAGCCCGCTGCACCTGTTGCACAAGGGTGGTGGCCCGTGAGTGTTCTTGTTTCACTGCAATCAGGTAGGCAGAACGCAGTTTGCAACATGTCAGATAGGCTTGAACCTGGCAATCAGATATAGCAGATGGTGGAAAGGAAATTGTCACTGGAGAATCATCAACAAATACACACAGCTGCATCAGGAAGCTCAGGCAGAAAGATATCAAGACTCACTTATCAAATTAATTGCTAGGTTCTTGCCCCTTATTGTATTATAGCAACTTGTTACGTATTCTGGACACTAAGCTATTACATGGTATTATTTTACAGTGTAAAAGTTAGAGGCAGAAGGATCACAAGTTCAAGCCTGGCGTGGGCAACTAAGTGAATTAGTGAAGACTTTGTCTCACAATAAAAAATTTAAAGGATGTAGCTCAGTGTAAAGGTGCTAGGTTCAATCCCCAGTCCCAAACACACACACAAAAATTATTACAATTAAGATAAGAACTTAAAAACAAAGCCAGGGCCGGGGATTTAGCTCAGTGGTTTCACCGCCTGCTGCACAAGCATAAGGACCTGAGTTCGAACCCTGGTACCAAAAAAAAAAAAAAAAAAACAAAGGCAGACAGGCACACAGAGATTAGCCTCTGTCCACCCCCTCCAAAGCTCTCCAGCTTCCTCCTGGTGTCAGAGGTAGCATTTTCAGTGCCCACACATTGTGATTTTATGGTTATTTGGTGACTGATTGATGTCTGTCTCTCTGATTAACTATAGCAGTGATGTCAAACCTTTTAGATCTTTCAATGACAACAAAGAGAGAGCTGCAACACGTGTGCCATAGGTTTGCCACCACTAGACCCTAGTGTTCCTGAGGCCAGGAACAGTGTCTGCCTTTTCTGTACCCTGTATTCCTGGTGCCTAGTATGTAGTCACAGATGAATATTCACTGCATGAATGTATGAGCAAATGAATGACCAGACTACCACACTTTTCTCCTACAATGGACTCACTGATTTCCCTTCCCTGTTCCTCTGTGTTCAACCTGATGACTTTAAATCTTTTAACAGGAAATAAGGAGGGGGGGAATTGGAATGGATGCCACACTAGAAAAGATCCAATTAAGGTTTAATCCCAGTAGTTAAACTGTCTTGGCTTCTCTTGTTTGGATCATCAAAGGCAGCTCACTTGTGGAGGGCAGGCTGTTTTGTCTATTTCCCATGTTCTCTGCCTTGCGAACCTGAAGCTTGGTGGAGGTGACAGTCCTTTCCCTCATAGGTCTGGCTCTCACCAGCCCTCCCTGGTTAGCAGTTGCTCTGGGCTGGGGAACAGCGAGGCCCTTATGAACTCCTACTGGCAACTGCCTTTCTGCCACAACAGCCCCTCCTAGTAGTGGAGGGACTATTCTTGCTCTAAGCATAATGACCCTTTTTTTCTCCCTTGGTCACTAAAGTCTTTCTTTTCTAAGCACAATTGCAGATGGTCTTCTGCCACTAGAAGAGGTCTGGCGTCCTGAGCTCACTGAAGTGACCACGTGGTGCTGTCAGGGAATGTGCATGCTTCCTTAGGCTGAATGCTCATCCAGGCCTTCAGCCCCAGTCAGCTCCTACACAGGCAAAATATCACAGGCTAGCAGGCAAAATCCTTACCAAGAGAAGAAGGGTATTTTTCCAGTCTGGAATAGGAATTGGGTCAAGCTGGTTTTCAGCAAGACTCTATGGCCCGAGATTGCTTATTTGTATTAGAAAAGCTGCTAAAACAAAAAAGCCTGAAAAAGTAGTGACAACTGTCAGAATAGTACACATCTTTACCAGGGACAAAGCCTCTGTCCTATGGAGAGGGAGGCTCAGTAAAGACCTTGGAAAGAACCACAGATTGGGACTCAGGGACCCTGGGTGTCTCTGCCTTGGCTGTTAGGTTCTCATTCTGATTTTAAAAAAGGAATTCTCTACATTTTGGAACATTGGAATTTCATCCTTTCCAAGGATATCATCAGGATGTTGCAGAAATAATGAGAAAATGTTTCGAACATGTTCTTTTTAATTCCTAGACTGGAAAATCCCCTGCAAATTCACCCCAGGTATTAGTAATACTGCTAGGGAGAGCAGCTCTGTGGTTGTGTAAGAAATTGTTTCCCAGAAGCTAGTTCATCAGGAGAGATTTAGCTGCTAGAACATTCCTCTGTTGATGCCCAGGGAAGCTCCATTTAGCTTGCCTTTCTTGGGGCCCTCTTGACCTAGGGACATTCTGGCAGATGGCAGGAGGATCCATTCCATAGTTAGCCAGAAACAAAGGAAGTGGGGGATACTTCCGTTCTGCCTGGCACTCCTTATAAAGGGAAAGTGAAGCAAAGGTTCACCCATTTCCCAAACAGGGACATTTTCATTGGCCTCCGGGAAGAGGCCTATTCTGGTGAGTGAGATCCCACTGGACATTGCCAGCCAAAAGGTTGCATGGGCTGTTACTTGGTGTATGCTTTTCCTTCTGAGGTAAAGAAATATTTGCTCTCATTTAGTAAGTGAACCTAGTCTTATTTAGTTAGTTAACTTAAAGCTAGAAGTGAGGCATTTCCTAGGGCTCTCTGAGGGGAAACCTAAGTATAACACAGAGAAATCGAAGAGTAGCTTAGGACGTTTTTTACCTTGGGGATAAAGAATTGGGAAGGCAAAGCTGGGCAGTCAACATTCACCTGTTCCCAATCTATTCCCTTCTGCTCAAGTCTCAGTGTCACCCCTGGATAATGAAGTTTAGATACAAGATACTATGGAACTATTATGAGGAGCAAAGGAAAAGGTGACAAAGCAAGCCCCAGGTGCTAGTCATCAGCATCACCAGGGTTCGGCAACAGTTCTGCTCACCTTGTTGTCATCGTTGTGTATTGCCTGGATCAGGGCCTCCAGCTCCTGTGCAGAACACAGACATAGCAACTGTGAGAGAGAGAGGAGCCCCTGCCTCGGAGCCAGAGCCCAATCTAGTTTTAGCCCAGCCACTGTGACTCCAGGGTAGGGATGCCTGCCTGACTCTTTTTAAACTCCACTCCTACTATAAGAGTAACAGAAGAAAGCTGATAACACCAAGTTGGGAATTTGGGAAGAAGGAACATCTCCCAAGAGGCTGGTCCTTGGTCTTCACAAATGGATGTGGCTCTATTCACCCCACAAAGAAATCATAGTGGGAACAGTTTCACAGGCAAAGTGCTTCAAAGGCCATCTCCTGACCCACTGTGATCTCCTCTAAAAATCACAGGATGCAGATAAACTGTCAGTCCACAGACCTTTCCAGGTGCACAAAATATTAGACAAGGGGATGTGGAGGGACCCCGTCTGGGTAGAGGTCATTGCCATGAATTTTCTTCATAGACAAAGGTTGATTCAAGTGAAGCCATTGTTGCAGAGGGGTCATAAAGATAAAAGGATCTTGGCACATTACAGGGAACACAGAAATAAAAGGGTGAGGAGTAAGCACACCTGGGGTGGGATTCTCTTGAAGGCATGCAGGCAGTTGAGGAGGATGGTGTCCCCATCACTTTTGGCTGCCATGCCCGACTCACTGACACATTTGAGCAGTTGTCGGATCTCACTGTATTTCTCCTTCTCAACCAGCTGTCGGGCAGCTCTGCAGTAAGTTGTAGACGCATCCAGCTGGAAGTCCTGGAACAGAGCACGGGTGGGGGGCTTAGGATGGGAGGGGACACTGACAGTGGCAAGGGAGGCAGTATTTAAAAAACACCAAACCATGCCTGCTATAGGTAAACCACGCTGATTACAGTCACAACAGAAAACAAACCAAAAATGAGCAAAAGGTTTTTCCTTGGAGTCAGGCAGACATTTAGGGAGCACCCATAAAAATCATAACCTTAGTATCTAAAATGGTGCATCTCACTTGCTTTTTTTTTTTTTTTTTTTTTGTACTGGGTATTGAACTCAGAACTTCGTGCTTTCGAAGTAGGCATGGCGCCACTGATCTAAATCCCCAGCCCTCACTTGCTTCTAATTAAAATTCCCAAGACCAGTTCAATCTCTCTTTCCTGAGTCACCTCCCCCTGTGTGGGAGCTAGTATTTGCTGTGCTGGATGCCTGGCACTTTGTTAACACAAGCTCTGTTAGATAAGCACCTTCAACTTGGTCTAGGTTAAAACCCTTATACCACAGAGCCTAGGGGTGGGGAGAGCTGCCTCTCTGCCTATCTACCAGGGGTATTGGTGTGTGGAGAGCTTTCTAGCATTGAAAATGGGTAGCAGGAAAGGCACCTGACTGACCACTGATCCTTTGGACATGTGCACTGTGCTCCACCTACCACAGCAGTGACAGTCCTCAATCTGCTCCCAAGGTGGAAACCTCTGGTGGTAGGGGGTCTGGAGAGACTCTGGCCCTTGGGGTCTCCTGCTCCAGCTCCTGCTTCTGTGCTACAACCCCACCTGTGTCCTTTTATCATAAGCAATAGAAAGAGCTCTTCTAGAGCCAGTGCCTATACAGAGATAGAAGACAAGCAGTGGTTCTTCAGGGAAATAGCTGTGGGAAGCTGGCCTAGACCTGCTGCCAAAAAGGTACATATTTGGTAACTTTTTATTAGTTACTTGGCTTTTGCCAAAGTCACATAGAGTCTTGCATTTGACCCAGTTCTATGATAGCCACTACCCTGATTTTATCCTTGAGGTACATGTAAATCTGCTTTTCTTGGAATAAAAGCTTTCCAAAGAATACTGTCTCACAGAAATGTGGTCAGGGGCTCACCACCTTTGGCATAATTGCAAATAATCCAAGTCATACCTGCAGAACACGGAATGCAATTCCAAAGCCATCCTCTACATTTTTCCCTCCCAACATGACCTGAAAAAAAGGGAGGAAAACTTGCTTAAGGGAGCATTACTAGGAAAGCCCCTCAAAAAAGAATGAGGACTTCTACTTACTTGTCTATTCAACAAACATTTATTGAGACAACAGGCAACAGGCACTAGGGACACAAGAGTGATCAAAATGGACTTGATCACTCTGTGTGGTGACACATAGCTGCAATCCCTGCACTTGGGAGGCTGAGGCAAGATTGTCAGTTCAAGGCCAGCCTGGGTTACATAGAAACACATTGCCTCAAAGCAAAACAAAAAAGAAAAGAAAAAAGACTTGATCCTCAGCCATCTATGGGTCACATTTCAGTAAGTTCAGTGGGAGACAGACACCAAACAAACAACTGAAATAATCAGAGAATCACAGTTGTGATAAGTGCTCTGAAAGATAGAGGCAGCCTGCTGGAGGTGAAGCACTGTACTTACCTTGCAGGCAACATCCATTTTCATGTGGTTATTTCCAAACAGTGTTGGCAGAGGCAAAGAGGTGATCTGAGAGGTCCCACCACTTTCGCACCGATGTAAGAACCGGGTCACTTCCATCTGTAGCTGGAGTGTATTCATGTGCCTGTGGGGACAGGACGTGCATGGCCCACCCTCAGGAGGGTGAGGTGCCTGGGGCTGGGTGACTTAGAAGCATGAGAAGACGGCGAGGGAAAGGGCAAAAGGAATGACAAAGAGGGAAGGGACCCAAAACTCTCTGAGCAACAAGAGTAAAATGGGCAGCCTAGTACCCCACACAGACACATAGTGGCTCAGCTGCTCCATGGAACTAGACAAGGGCCCGTCATAGAATCAGTAAGTATTTACTGGACACCTATGTGCCAGGTACAAAAAATGAGGCCTAGAGCAGCATAAGCCCTGCCCCTGCAGAATTCAAAGGCTGGCGGAGAAATGAACAGGAACCAAACCCAGAACACATTTAGTGATGAAGCTGCTGAAGCAATGAAGGGGAGAGGTAGAGTATTTGCTTTAGATTTAGTGTTCTAAGCACAGAGACCAGCAAGCATGAAAGCAGAGAGAAGAAAGGACCTGGTGTGCTGAGTAACCCCCAGGATGCCACTGACTGACACTTAGCAAAGAAGAAGAGAGGGGCATGTAATAGAGATGGAGACCAGATCACAGGGGCCAGATCACAGGAGACTTTTGCTCAATTTCAGAAGAGTAAGTTTAGGCTGCTTGTGACATGTGAGCCTAATCTTCCCTCCTCTCCCCTTCCCCCCTCCCCCAACAAGCTCCTCTGTGGCTTTCCAGGCTTGTATCAGACATAGTTGAGCAAGGATGATTCCTTTTAAATGTGCTTTTTCAGGGTTCAGAGAATGGGTGAAATCAGCTTTATGCCCTCCGATACTCAACCCAGTCCTCCTGTCCTGCATTAATTATCCTCCCTGCCTTGGGCTACCTGGATACATCAGCCGCTGTCATCTTCTTTCGGAAGAAGGTGGATTTCTTCCTTCCTGAGCTGCGGGATGTTTCTTGGAGGTAGATCTTCAGGTGGTCCTTGGCCTTAAGCAGCCATGACAGCTTCTCACCCAGCTCTGTATATGACTTTGCTTTGTGACTGAAGAACCGAATACAGGTCATGGCAGCCCGGACTTGGTCCTAGAAGAGGAAATTGAATATTCATGTCCAAAGAGATTAGGGATGTTGGGAGTTGCGGTGTGATGAGAATTCTGGTCTGATTCTCACCCATGAAACAGCTGCATGATCTGGACCCTGTGGATGTCTCCATCTTTCTTTCCTGCTCCTGTCTTCTGCCTTGCTAAGCAACATTATCTACTTCTATCATCAGATGAACTGATATTTGGTGTCATTCACTCCAAGAAATCCTAAAGTGAACCGATGGGCTGAGCTCTTCAGTTGGACATTATTTTACCACTGAAGCTATCTAAAAAGAGGACCCTTCCGATTCTCCATTCACAAGGGGTTCACTCTTAACAGCACTGAATAACTGAATAATTCAATTTCTCCATGACTTAGTAATGGCAAGCCTCAAGAAAGATTAGGAGAAACTCATTCCTTCTCCCTTTGTGCATTTTCTCTAAAGACACTGTTATACCTTTTGAATTCTGTATCATTTTTTACCTTCACATTCCTTGAATTCTAAAGAACGCATTACAGACAAGATTAAACTTTGCCTCTAAATTTATGGTGAAATCCTAGAATTATCTAACAATGTTGGAAAGCAAGAGGGATTTGCTCTAGGGTCAAATAGCAAGGACAGGGATCAAGGAACAGCGCTGTCCCTCCTCTTGCATAGCCTGCCCTGCCTGTCAGGGCTTCAGCTGCAGAGAGGAGGATGGGCTGCTAGTACCTTCATGAACTGCTGCAGCTCGTACAGAATGTGGTAGTAGTTCTTCTTCTGTAAGTGTTGGCAGGCAGCAATCAGGTATGCTCCCCAGCTCTCCAAGGTTGGATCAATAGATTCCAGCAAGTTTTCCAAAGTGTGTAGCTTCCCACTTTTGTAGCTTGGCTGGAAAATCCCTTCTACAAAGACTTCTGGTGGACTGTCCTAGAGCAAGGCAAGGCGAGAAGTCAGAAGTCTGGAGCCTGGTTTAGGGCACAGACTGGGATCCACTCTGAATTTCCACCCACTCATGTCCCTTTAGCTTCCTCCTAGGTAGTGCTCCTTAACCTCCAGCGAGTCACAAATACCTCTCAGAATCCCACTCTAGTGACTGCTTCTCTACTCTTCTTCTACAGAAAAGTTCCTTGATAAGTTTTCTATACCCACTGTCTACAATTTCCCTCCCGAGATTTTCTCTTGAACTCACTCTGCTCAAGCTTTTGTGCCCAAACTCTGATGAAACCATGCCTTAGGTCACTTGGGAACCCTAAAATGTTAATTTAATCGCAACAGCTAATTCTTGGTCTCCTTTTCCACTTGTTCTACTAGCAGCTTTCCCCTTCCATGCTCGGGATAGATCCTAGAGTGCATTAGGCAAAAGTACTCTACCACTGACCTACACCTCTGGCCCTATTAGCAGCTTTTAATACAGAAGATGGCTTCCTCCTTCTTGAAGAACTCTTAAATTTTTATTTCAACTAATTAATTTTCTGTTACTGGGGATTAAACCCAGGGAGTGCCAAGGTACATCTCCAGACCTTTATTTTTTTGAGGCAGGGTCTTGCTAAGTTACTGAGACTGGCCTTGAACTTGCAATCCTCCTGCCACAGCTTCCCAGTAGCTGGGATTACAGACATAAGCTACCATGCCCAGTTTAAATTATAATTTTAATTGAGAAAAACTTTCTTTATTTGGGCTCCAGGATATCAGCCTCTCTAGGTTTTCTTTTTATATATCTGGTCACTCTCTCTCAATTTCTGCTGCTAAGTCCTCCCAATCTCCCAAGGACTTAGGAGAAAACTGATCTTTTCTATCTCTACACCTTCTCTCAGTGACTTCATCTAGTCTCATGCTTGAAGTACTGTTTATGTGATGATGCCTAAATCCCTATCTCCGGCTTGCTTGTCCCCCTAACTTCAGAACTATATATCCAACTGATATCCAATTGCCTCCTCAACAAGTCTTGGACTTTAACACATCAAAAATCATGATTCTTGCTGTTCCTTGAAACCACTTTCTTCTAGTCTTCCCTTTCTCAGACAGTAATATAATTCTAGTTGTTCAGATCAAAAACCTTAGAATCCTATTTCTCCCCAAATTCCATCAAATTCATCAGCAAGTTCTAGCTTTCCTGTCAAAATACACATAGAAGAGCTGGGTGTGGTGGCACATGCCTATAAGCCCAGCACTCAGGGAGGCTGAGGCAGGAGGATTGCCATGAGTTTAAGGCCAGCCTGGGCTGCACAGTGAGTTCAAGGCCAGCCTGAACTACACGGTGAGGCCCTGTCTCAAAAACAAAACAAAATAAACAAATAAAAAACCCAAAAGCACACACAGATGCTGACCACTTCTACCTCCATTGTACCTCAGTGACCCAAGCTATCACCACCATTTGCTTGGATTACTGCAATAGTCTCCTCTCTGGTCTGTCAACCTTCCAGTCCTGCCTCTTTCCTGTTTAACGCCTGTTTTAAGACTTGAGGAGATAATATAGTGCATGATACAATCAGGAATACTTAGGTAGCTTGATGAGTCTGGAATGCTGGGTACAGATTGGATTTGTGGTGCAGTGAAATATGAAGCCAGATCCTGGTAGGTCCTATAGCATGCTAAACAACTCGGACTTCATCTTGTGGAGTGGAAATGCACTGAAAGCCTTTTAGGAAGGGGAATAACATGAGTGTGCTAATGTTTTAGGAAGCTCATCTGAGCAGGCAGTGTGGGCAAAGGGGTAGACAAGAAAGAGATCGCCTTCCATACCCTACACACTCAGATGTCACTTTTGCAATGTATTTTTCTGGGTCCTTACCTGCTTGAGAATAAAGGCAAGGTTCAGTAAGAATAAAGGTTCCATTCAAGGGTAACTGTGATTATCAAGGGTAACTGCAGATAAAAAGAGGGCTTCCTTCTTAGCTCTGACAAACATAAAATAGGGACAATGCTGTCATAGGCTCCCACTAAGATGATTAGGTAAGCAGCTTAACTCTTTGGACTACAGTTGTCCAGGGGAACAGGACTGGACGATTTCCACTCTCAATTTGTGCTTTGGAGAAGCATCTTTACCTCTAAACTCATTTGGAAATAGAAAAATGGAAAAAGTTAGTAATTAAATTCCAAATAACAGGACTTCTCCATGATTCTTGAGACCTGGTTAGTAGCTAAGCCATGGCCAAAATATTTCCATATCACTGTCCTATAGGGGTCTTATATCAACATTTTGTGGACTGTTGATTTCGCTTGGAGCAGTCCTAAAAGATATATCTATTCACAAACTTTCACTGGTTGCTGTTTGATTTAGGGCAGCCAAATGATATTAACATTTATCTTGAACGGCATTAATTTTCTATGCAATTTGGTGAGTAGCCTGTTTCTCAGATAATTATGAAATATTCAGATAAAGAAGGAAGACCAGGGCCGGGGATTTAGCTCAGTGGTTCCAGAGCCTGCCTTGGAAGCGCAAGGTCCTGAGTTCAATCCCTGGTACCAAAAAAAAAAAAAACCAAAAAGAAGGATGGCCAAATGGTTATGGTGAAATGGAGTCCTGATTGCTTACTAGTAGTGGCAAAGAAATTCTACACTTCAGCGGTACATTTGCCTCCAGTGGGAGGAGGGCAGAGTCCGTGAAGACAAAATGAGTAGAGTACATGCTCCTTTCATCCTGAACACGACCTGCTGTGGGCAACAACTCTGAAGAGACACCATTGCAGGCCAGGTGGGAGGTGAAGGAAACAGGTTCAGCAGTTTGCCCACAGCCACACCAAATTCCCACTAGGCATCTCATTCTAGAGATCACGCTTTGATTCTGCTACATGTTTGGGGAAAAGGGATTGAATTAGCCACTGTCACTCAGGAGAGTGATCTGGGATCTGAGTTTAAGACTTGTGATACAGTCACTGGGCAATGACTGTGCTGGCAGAATCTTCTATTTCAACCTGACTCTGCCAGGACTGACCTTACTGCTCAATGCTGTTTCAAATCTGAGGGGTCTAAGGGATGTGGGTGAGGCAGGCACTGCCCTTTGCGGCTGTGTCCCTGCAACCCACCTTGTTGAGGAGGTGCAGCAGGGCTTCCCGGAGGCAGCAGTGCCTCATGTAGAAGCTGATGATGGCCAGGTTGGTGCTATAGTTGTGCAGGTAGTACAGACATTCTTGGTAGTAGGTGTTATTCATGATCTTCCCTTCAGGAATCACCTCCAGGGAGAGGCTCTGGGTTCGAAGGGTGGCTTCCAGTTCCCTCAAGGTGGCAAAGTAATCATCATCTTGCTGACAGAAAAATGGAGATCAGTTAGTCCTCAGCAGCCACTGAATAGCACCTCTGAAGGATATTTAACAAATGTGGTAAAATGCTCACATTCCAGTTTTAAGAGTAGAAAAATAGATGGATATACAATTCTGTATATTACCTGGGCATGGTGCGGTACATAAATGTAATTCTAGCATTCTGGGAGGCTGAGGCAGGAGGATCACAAGTTTGATCCCAGCCCAGGCAACTTAGTGAGACACTGTCTCGAAGTAAAAGTCAAAAGGGGCTGGGGATGCAGTTTGGGGTAAAGGCCCTGAGTTCAATCCCCAGTACTGCCAAAACAAACAAACCAAACCAAACAAACCAAAAACCCCAGAAAATTTACCAAAATCTTTTTTATTTTTGCAATAGGGTCTTGCTTTGTTGCCAGGCTGGACTTAAACTCCTGCCTCAACTTCCTGAGTAGCTGCGAATATAGACATGTACCACCATGCCTGGCTCTAACCAAAATTTTAATACTAATTTGGTTATGAGATTATAGGTGATTTTCATTTTTTTAAAAAAATGGTTTTCTGGGGCTGAGGATTAGCTCAGTGGCACTGCACCTGCCTCACAAGTGCAAGGTCCTGAATTCCATCCCCGGGACAAAAAAAAAAAGCTTTTCTGTGTTTTGTTTTGTTTTTAAAAGAGGGGGGCTCTTTATTTTTTTTTGGTACCGGGGATTGAACTCAGGTCCTTGTGCTTGCCCAGCAGGCGGCGAAACCACTGAGCTAAATCGCCAGCCCTTTATTTCTTATCTAGCCATACATAGTTACTTATCTAACTCTATGTAATGAAAAAAGGGAAAAATACCAAGCTGGCAAACTCTGAGCTGGAACTGGCACTGTCAGCTGAATTTGACACAATCCTTTTCCCAGGGCCTGAGTGCTCCTGCACTTCCCTCCCACTCTGCCTGCTTGGCTCTTACCAAGGAAATGAGGGGCCTCACTGTGGACTCCAGGTACTCAACCACATCCTGTACCAGCCTCGAGCCATGATTCAGCTGATTGAGGTCAAAGGGGGGCTTCAGAGAGCGACTGAACTTCTCCCGGGCTGCAGTGAGGTTCCCAGCCTTGAGGCAGGCCATGCCCCAAGCATGCCATGCCCCAGTGGAATCAAGCCCAGTCTTTGTGGAGACCTGGGAGAAAAATTACTTCCTTTAGTGAGAGTTACCACCATCCATCCATCCTGAGTCTCCCAGAGACTGATTCCATTTCCTTTAGCCACCACCTCCTGGCCACCCTGCCCGCCATCATCCCCATGCTGCCAAACTGGTTATGCCCTCAATACCTCCCTGTGGTCAGGAAAACGGAAACATGGCAAGACTTGTTTGCAGGGCTAAGCAAAGGCACCTCACTACGGTGGGGTAGAAGTACCTCGACTCCCAGTTGGTAGTACTCAGCTTCCAGAAGCTGGTTCCTTAGCCTGGTGACTGCAGCAGGCTGCAAGATTTGATCTAGAGATGGCACATGGCGATAGGCAGCAGCAACTAAAATATTCAGCACATCCACCTTGCTGATATAACTACAGAGAAGAAAAGGACAGGACAATGAGGTTACATAGAGTCTTACTAAGACTACCTGTTACTAAAAGTTTTCTATTTCATTTTTAATGTGAAATGTGATAATGAGAATTGAGAAGTATATAGCAAGTAAGGGGTGATCAAAATACACAAGGAATGTTTATATTAAAAAAATTTATTACAGGAAAAAACTCAATGGCATTAATTCCCCTCAAAATACTACCCCTCACTGGAAACACGCTTATCCCGTTGTTCTTGCCACCTTCTGATGCAGTTCTAGAAGTTTTCTTTCATGTGTCTATATGAGGTGTGATCAAAAATATGGTGAATGTGGCTGTCAAGTGCCAGCCAATGGAAAAGCAGGCTTGTAAAACATTACAGTGTTTCACTGTCCATCTTACTCATTGAATCTGGCACCCTGTGACTTCTGGCTCTTCCCCAAAATCAAAATGACTGTGCAAAGTAAAGTTTGAAGTGATTTAGGACACTGAGGCAGCCATGACAGCACAACTCAAGATTTTCATTAAAGCAGACTTCTAGAACTGCTTCAGAATGTGGCAAGAACGATGAGATAAGTGTGTCCAAAGTGAGAGGGAGTATTTTGAGGGGGATTAATGACAATGTATCTTTTACTGTAACTTTTTAAAAATTTAAGCATTGACCATTGGTTTTGATCTGACCTCATAGGTACTATGAATGAAAGCTCTGAAGGTGAACTGTTTGAATCTCAGTGCCATTGTTTAGTAGCTCTGTGTCCTGGGGCAGTTTAGCTAACCTTTTGGCCTCAACTTACTCAACCCTAAAATGAATATAATATCCAGGAGTTTCCAGGATAAAATGGAATACCCCAAGGAGAAGAGCTTAGGATAGTATCTGTAACTTTTTTTTTTCCCATTAAGTTTATTGGTACATTTTCAGTATAAAATACAGTTACATTCATCATTGGGATCTTGTACCTTTACATGATGTATCTTGATTCTTTTTTTCCCCCTTCCCTTGCCCTCCCTTCACCCCCTCCACCCTTCCCTATTTGCAAAGACTTTGTTTCCAGTTTTTTCCTTTTCTC